TGATCACTTGTTTGGAAATATTTTGGTTACTTTTTATTTTTAAATAATTATCCTCTCTCAAAGCTCCTGTAGCCTCATCACCTTTCATTTAAAAATAAAGGCAGCAGAAACCACTGAAATTTGTGTTAGAATCTGCCCCCCCCCCCAAAAGGATTCCTTCAAAACGTGCCTCTTTGCCCTGTACTAGCCACAGTCCGCAGCAACTTTCAAGGACATTTGTCATATATATATAGATATAGATATCTATATATATATGTATAGATATATATATCTCCATGTCCCCTATAACCGTGATGACCACGCAAGATTCCCTAGTAATTTGAAAGTAAAATCAAAAAGCAAATATGAATTCTTACTGCAATCTAATTTTGCTTGTACACTTTTGTAAAGTCTACAAAAGAGAGAAGGACTTTGTCCCTGAAAATACACATGCACCTCAAGACCAGTGGTTTACCAACATTGAACACTAAATTTTGTAAATTCTGTGCCCTGCAGATATGAATGTAAAAAGCCTACAGTGTTCTAGTTCTATTATTGTAAATACCTGCACAGCAAAGTCCTAAAAAAAAAAAAAAAAGCCTTGGTCAATGACTTATTTGTTTTAAGCCCTATAATACAATTACAACAGAATCTTAATATCAGGATTTGACCCTATCACCTAATTATTCCAGGGATGACTTCTTAAAAAATCTAACCTTCACTGGTAATTGTGATGCCCTCTTGTGAACTTGAAGCAGATGAATGAGGTCAAATTAGGACATCACTGAGAGAAAGAATCTAAATTTGAATATATCTGCCACCAGTGGCTCTAGGGATTCAACATTGACACAAATGAAATACTTCCTATGTAAGCAGAGTTAATCAGGCCTAAAAATGCCCTAACATAGACCAAGGCAGTATTTCTTTTCAGAAAATGCAATTTTATACTGAGACATATATTCCGCCTTAACTTTAAAATGCCATTCAAAATTATCCTATGAGAAAGGGCATCAGTTTAAAACATCTGGTCTGAAACCAAGCTGTAGAGTTGCATTCTGCTTCTTAAAATTCACTGTTATAAGAATCCAGACTTTTTCTCTCCTAAACTGTGGCTAAGTGATCTTAAAACAAATGTTGTGTAATCTACGCGGGTCATTTCGGCACTGGATGGAATGATTCTACCTTTCTCATCCATCCTGAAGATGTCTTAATGTGAGCAGGGCCCTTAGACACTTCCTAACAAGCATTGCCACAAAGTAATCTCTTGTAACACTTATGGTTGCAGGCACAGAACAAGACCATTGTGTGTGACCTGATTTCATTTCAGTGACTGTCCCAGTAAAGAATGACATCATCCCATTCTTTTTTTTTTTTTGATCTCCACTTGTGACTGTCCCCATCTCCCCGCCCCCACCCTCATCATAATTAAACTGCTCCTCTCCCTCCCCCTCTGCACTCCTCATCCCCAGGGGAGAAGCTATTTTCCTCTTAACTTCCTGCCTGAATGTATCATTATGGCAAGAGCAAAGGGTTTTCCTCTGGTTGGTTAATATCCCCGGAGTTTGTTTCCTGGCCATATCAGACAAAGCTCTATTCTCTTGGCAGCCAGAGCGTACTGAGAGGACCATCTGCTGGGACAGGTCTCACTGAGTCAGATGGAAATAGAGAAAAGCTAGCGAAAGGTGGCACAGGCTGATGGGTGCAGTGTTTCTCACCCTCTTGAAGTTGATGTTTTCTTTCAGCACAAATTTGTTGGTGTCGAGGACCTACTGTCTAAACAGCTCCATTTAACGGCGCGTATGCCTGTGTGCACATTGGTACCCACGCGCACACTAGCTCTTGCTTTATCACTTAGATTTGCATGATGACTCACAGGGGAAAGTATTTAGTTTCGGAGGGATGAAAGGACGATGCAGGAGAAGACGTTAGCCCCACATCCGTGTAATAGAGAATGATGTCCCAATTCAAACTAATGAACTATGAAGACACTGCAGGAAATGTAGATCGTTTCGATACAATAGTGAAAAGAATCAGAATAAAATTGTATATTCTCCGAGTTTCCAATTACAGAAGATATTAAGTGGTACCTTATGAAACTGCTACTTTTTAAGTCAAGAATACTCAAATAGTGGCAATTTTCTATGATTCCTCAGGGCATATATTCATATACAAAAAACTTAAGGGGCTGGAGTTAAGTGTGTGTGTGCTTTGCCACACACACACAAAAATCATATTGGATCGCTATTACATTGTTTTACAGCACATGCATTATTTTAACTGACACTAGGATGTGCAATGAGAAATGTTAAGGGCAAGAATGATCACAAGGGAAAAGAGTTAGCTTCTTAGCACCCCCAAATTCAGCTCTTTATATTCCACAGCAAGTTTAAATGCTTGGTGGATACCCAGACAAAGATCATTTGAGCAGTTTTCAGTGTCTAAGTCTGGAGGTGGTCCCTTGAAAAGATGTAGTTTACTATTACAGTCCATGGACAATTAAAAAAAAAACTCTTAAATGTAAATTAAGGTATTGAGTATCACTTAAATTATTGGTAATATAAAAAAATAATCAAGTGCCAGGGAGGCACAGCCAAGACATGCTTATGATAAAATTTCCCATCCTGTGTAGGCATCAAGAGGGCTAGGAAAGGTCTTAATTTCCTTACAAACAACATAGCCGCTGTTCTAACTTATCCCATCTGTGTGCCCCAAACCTTATCTGACAGTGCAGTTTTTGAGTCCAGAACGTACAATAGTGGCCATTCAGATTTTGGCAGGTGTATTTCAAGCTGAAAACCAGGCTCCACAAAAAATAACAGTCTGTTCCCCAGGTGTGAACATTTTTGACAAGAACCCTCACGATCTCCCCCAAGCTGTGAAATTTAATTGTCCTTTTGTTGTCTTATTGTATGTGCACGCCATCTATCTTTCCTTGGACCGAGAGAGAATCTTCTGGCGATCGGACAGTCAGGAGATGCTTAGGCAGCTTCTGAGTTGTGCTTATAACATCTCCTGGTTCTATTTCTCTTGTTATGTATTTTGGAGGTGATGCCAAGTTCAGTGAATGGCAGGTAAGCAGTTTTTAAAGCTGGAAAAATATTAAATCAATGAGCTTTATATTCAGATGACAGGAGCAGAGAGGCAATCAAAATTGCACAAGGCAGCATTTTGAAGCTCTAAGGCTCATTAACATAGTCCTTATTTTATAAACCTGACTGTCTGAGCACACAGAGAAAGGATTCATTTCCCTCTACAAAATTTACCAGATGGGAGGACTGTGGATCTGTGAACACAGATGTGGTGGTGAAAAGTGACTCAGCTGCCTATCTAATCCAGCTCAAATGATGGATGAGGAAGGGTGGAGAGTTTGAAGCTGGCACTTGGTGGGACTTTGAATCTCAATTTTCCAGTCCAAAGACAGAAAAAGCAGACTGGAGACATCTCTCGGAGGGGGCCTACAGATTTTTAAGAAGTAAGTGTTTTGTGTGTTATATGTGAGCAGGTAATTCTAACTTGAACCAATATCAAACACATTTCTGTCTTCACATAATAAGAATATGCTGAAAAATGAAAAGGATATAATGCTTAAAGTAAAATTACCCATTAAATTGAGAACTGACTCAAGAAGATGAAGAATTCTTAAGAAGTCACAATTCTACTGTTTATCTCATTTCTAAACAGATACCTTTTTTAGTTTCTGTTTTAGAATATTTTCTCTCCTGTTTGGAGTTCTGAAGGAAGGAGACCTAAACTTGCACTTGTTTTCTCTTATTTTTGATTTATCTTGTGGATAACCAGCTTCTAATACATTCCTGGTGAGACCCCAGATCATCTGCACACAAAGCACTGAGAATTACAGAAAAAAAATTGGCAACACTCACGATTTTCTGTCAAGGAACTAATCCCAGACTTCTGTACACTTCCAAATATTTCTCTGCTAAACTTGCCATTTGTGGTGTGGACACAAAATGCTCAATCCCATTAAGTATTAGAAAGAGAAGCCGAATAATCAATCCTCAAAACACAAACCTGAAATTCAGGCCAGACCTGTTGAAGACTTCGTAATTTTTTTTGTTTGTGTGAGGTTCATAAACTTTTTGGTGATTAGAGGACTCTTTCCAAGACAACCTGGGCCAACACAAGGCTTAGAATGAAAAGCAAGCGAAAGGTAATGATTTTGAAGAGCTGCAATTTGAAACCAACAGGAATTCAATAGTTTCCATTGCATTCATTTGGTTGGGGTAGAAGGGAACAAATTTCAGTGTTGACCTTTGGGAAGAGACACATGGGGCAATAAACTCCCCTAAGTTTACAACTAAACTTAGGGGCGAATTAACACCCCTAAGAATGTTTTTGCAACTAAAGTCGTATTGCTTAGGTGGGTCTCTGTAACTCTTTCTGGCGCCACAACACCCTGGCACTAATATTTACTTAGCCAAGGCAAGAAACTGTGAAGGCAAAGCTATGAACAGGACTGGTAACATCTGTAGTTTTTGCCAGAGACTGTGGATGGGCTGGGTGGAGTTGGCCTGCCATACACTGTGGCTCTAATTCCCCTAAGCTTCCCGAACAGCTCATAACATGTTAATAAAGTCCTGATTCTTTGTCTTCCTTCCTTCCTTCCTTCCTTCCTTCCTTCCTTCCTTCCTTCCTTCCTTCTCCTTCCTTCTTTGTAATCTTTACACCCAATGTGGGGCTCAAACCCACAACCCCATGATCAAGAGTCACAGGCTCCACCCACAGAGCCAGCTGGGCACCCCTGATTCTTTAGATACTCATTACTCAGGTGTTCCTTTTGCCATTCCTGAAGACTAATTTCATGCAACGGCTTTACCACAGTTAAGGCTCCTTTTAGCTCTCTCAGCCAGGAAGGATGAAAAGGCTACAGGAAGGTGCCGTTCTCAGTTTCTTACAATTCCCCATCCATGGAACAGTCTCTCTTCAAATGACATGGGGTGCTCATGGGGTTTAATTAGCACCTTGGTTTAATTAAGCAAGAGCTAAATGTTTGATACGAGTACCTTTGAAGATTTTCTGCAATTATTCTGTCTTGGAGAACCTGCATGTCATCCGCCAATATCGCCTTCTTCAGAGGGTGGTGGGTGGCCGTCAGCACCTACAATGGAGGAGAGCAAATGTGCTCTCAGTTGCATTTTACCAGTGGCTTCTCTCATCTCTCAGATGGCGCCCTTTCACAAACTTCAAAGGGGAACATCATTAGGAATAATAGTCTCCAAATTATATCCACACTGCTTTTCTTACAATCACTTGCGAGAGACTTTGAAATACGGTGGGTAATTCAGGGCTCTTGTAGGAGGCTCCATTCGTCTCTCTCTTCATCAAGGGAAAGACTTTCCCCTAGATTCATTTCATATTATTCTTTGACTGGATTTCCTAAAACTAATAAAGAATTTTTTAAAAGTTTACTAAGCATTCCAAGTTTAAAAGTGGAGTGACATCGAATTTCAGGTTATGAGACCAGTTTGGAAGGAGAACATGCTGATTCATAAAATCTCCTAAAGCTGCTCTAAGCTATTATTTGATGAGCCTCAAAGTAAGCTTTTACAAGTGGTTGAGTTTGTTTCTATTCTGCATTTATGGCAGTTGAAAAATATAAATAACTAAAATCAACTTAGATACTTCGAATAAGAGGAAACACCCAGATTAATGCAGCATCTGATGATGCAATCTTGCTGCCACAAATAGCATATTTTAACATGTATATATCATATGGTATATAGTATAGAAGAGGAAATAGAAGCTATATTATATATATATGTATACATATACATATATATATCTTTTAAGGAAATATAAGCTATCAGAAGTATAATAGAATAACACACTTTTTAAAACAATAACACACTTTAACACCCCAAATTTCCTTGACCTTTAAAAAGTGCTTCTCTTGCCCATGTAAATATTAGAACATTGCATTTGGAGCTTCCTTACCTCTTCACTAGTGAAAACGATTGTCTATTGGTACGCACGGAGGGGAATCTCAGAGGTAGTGGGTATAGATTATTTCCCTTGATACAACAGACCTGGAATGTCTTCCAGATCTGAACTGGCCCTGCAGATTCAGGCTAAACGTGGGCAGCACCAAGTCCTTTTTCTCTGTTCTGAAAGCTTCGTTCTTATAGCAAGACTGCCAGAGCTGGGCTTCCCTGGGGCTGGCCTGTCACTGCAGGACCCTTCCTCCCACACCACCCTTATCATGTCTCTTTCCATTCCTGACAGAGGCTCAGCTCCTCCACCCATCTACGCCACCCTCTGTCATCGGGCACGCCCAACCCGGTTCCTTTTGGCTGCTCCCCTGTGCTTCCCATCCTGGGAGGTGCTTAGCTCTCGGACAACTTTTCCATTCTTTGTTCCCATGTCTCTGATAATATTACAAATTACTATAAGCATCACACAGATGTCCACTTTTTAAACATGTTCCTGGAGGACAGGGAAATGTATTTGTTACAATGACGCAGGACACCTTGTGATCTCCTGAAGTGAATGTTTACACGGGAGCATGAAGCTCTAAGTTTCTGGCTGTGGTCATGTTGGCATAGCCTAAGGCCAAAGAACGCCCTTTTTGCGATCATTCTGAATATCCTGCTGGGGGTAGCAGACCCTGGAATTTGATGCCTGAATTCCAGGCTACAGCATTCACTTTCCTAGTGAACTTGAGCGAATTACTGAATTTCTCTATGGCTCAGAGTTCTCTGAAAAATGGGGACTGAAGATCATAGGGTTGATGTGAAGATGACACACTAACATCCATGTAAAAAATTTAGAAGGATTTGTGGCCCATGGAAAGCACACAATAAACACTGGCCATCGTTATTACTTGGGTTTTTATTTATTTATTTATTTTTCTTAGCTTATAACAAAGATAGCACTGCCCTTGCAGTGGTAATTTGCAATCAAAAGGTATTTTCATGGAATGAGAGCAGAGTTTTCATAAATTTTATAAATGAAGGCTCTGATTTGTCATAATTAAAATGTTAATGTGTGGGAGAATAATGTAACAATTTAATTGCTGTAGGCTATTAGAGGGAGAACGTCGGCAGCCCGAATCCCTGGCTAAGTATGTACCCACAAGAGGGAAATGCTTCCGGCAGTGCTCGATAAACTCGTATTGGCCAGATTACAGCAAGGTGATAGGACGGCTTAGCCAGCACGGCTCTCTGCTCCATAACCTGGACCCCAACAGAGGTTCTGCCTGGATCCTGTCCTCCTTCACGTGCCCCTCTTTGAACAATTCATTATAAATAGGCATAGTATAAATGTGCAATAGAAACTTTTTATTAAAATGTCTCTATTTTTTTTTACAATTTCATGAATGAACACGGTTAAAATATTCATTCTTTAGTTTCAGCAAAACGGCATCATCTGGCAAAGAAAATTAACATTAAAGAGAGTATTATTGGTTTATGGTTTTGTTCATATTTGATCAGCAATTTCTCTTGGATTTTCAAAGCTATAAATACAATGTTACTATTGCAGATGTATAGTTATACAAATATAATTCAAATAATTAACACATGTTTTTCAGGGTACGTATTTCATTAACCTTTTAGCAGATAGTAATATAAGGAGAGACTGGGGGCTCCAGGGTCCATTGGTAAGGTTGGGAAATGCATAGGAGAGTACCCACCAGCCTGGCTTCCCCAGGGTTTCCCCCCTTCCCCCCCACCCCCTGTAAGACTTTCTTTACACTTTCATTTCTGCTGTTCTTTATCTAGAAAAATCCGCCCTTATTCCCTCCACCTATTCAAATTCTAAGCACCCCTCTGGGATCGGCTGAAATCCTGACATTTCCTAACAATGTCCATTCTCATTTCTCTCACCAGCACTCCATCACTTAAAAATCCATGCCATGTAATGTAGCAGTTATACCGTCCACTCTGTTGTCACTGCTGCCTACATGGGTGAAGGGCTCATCTCTCGACCAGGTTTTAGGATTGCTAAAGCATGAGGGTTATACCTGGGGCTTCGTCTCCGTCTCACACTCTAATCACACTGTGGTCGCCGATAAGTACTATGCACTGATGGAGGATCCCTTCATCGTCGGATCTGAGTCACCTCTTGATCCGGATTTGTTTTGGAGTTTATTCAAGTTTTGGTCAAAAACACCTAATCTAAGACCTTGAATGGTTCCTGAATCAAGGATAAACTGTGGGTCCACATGGCGCTGAAGCTGGGCCACACACTGGTCTGGCTCTGGGTCATCTTGCCCTTTCTTTTTCTTAAGCCAGATTTACGATATTTTCTGTAAGCAACGACTCAGCCCAAGACTCAGATGTGTCTTGCGCAAACATGTGTTGGGGGTGGGGGGGAGAGAAAGAGAGAGCAAGAAAGCAGGCGCTCACATGAATCTTAGTTTCTCTGTTTGTAAAATACACAGATAAGATTGGGAGACATCCAAAATCCCTTTCTGCTCTAAAATTCTAGAAAACATTGGCAATTATGCCTATTAATTTGACATTAACATCCCACAAATAAATGCGGCTATGCGCCAGAATTTCACCTGTTGATAATATACTGGGAAGCTGAGTTTGATAGTTTAACAGCCGTACTTTAAAAGTTTGGTTTGGCTTCTCTTGTATTAGTGCTTCTGTACTTAGCACTTACGAATCCATGCTATAAAGCCAGTAGGTGATTGAACTTGACTCTCATGGCTTTCAGTTGTTCAGAAACTGAGCTGCATTTCCTGGCTCTCAAACTTCATAAACTCATCCGATTTTGCTGCAGAGAAATGTCATTAAAATAACAGTCCTCAGTGGAAAACACTAGCACCATTCATAGTGAAATGCTGAAACAGTAACTGATGTTTTCAAACTGTGAGTTGGAGGCATTTTTCTACACTGTATACGCATACACACGGAGAGAGATGTGTAGGGTAAGTGCGTAGTTTTCTTGGGCAGTTGTCCTTTAATTTCTCCTAAAAGTGACTCTTGGTCTTGTTGCAGAAGTGCATTCTGTCTGTGCTTGCTTTCTGCCTTGGAAAGTAAGAACAGTTCCAAACTGCCTTCCCTAAGGAGTTGTTGGAAGGTCCAAAATGTCCTCATTAGAAAACTTGCACTGAACCACACAAATCTTGCCATTGTGCATGGTGCTCGCATGGGGGACTATTACTTCATGCACAATGACATGAGACCAGAAAACATGTGAACAGGAAGCCAAACCCAAGAGAGAGTTGGGGAGTGTCCAGCTTTCCGAACAGCACAGAAACGGAGCACAATTCAGCAATCTTCTGGACTCAGGTGTCTGGGGGCCCGCACAGCTGCACCCTGTCCCACTCTTCAAACACTGTGCAGGAGAGCACAGTGGCTCAGGCAGCTCACCCAGCCAGGAGTAAATCATTATGTCAGCAAACCCAGAAAGACTCTGAAGAGTGTAGCACTCGCTTATGGAGCCAAGACTTTAAATGGCTTGAGTAACCTACATGTGGAATGGCCCACACCATATATGGAAGCTCAGTATATTCTTCATACTTTCTATTGTACTAATGGGAATTCCCCCAAATAGATCTCGCTTCTTCTTTAAATAATAAACTTTCCCATGATGCCAGGCCATCTTCCAAAATATATATATGGTGATTATTTTGTAGAACTGATATAGTAACCGTTCCTTTTTGGAACTTTTTTTTTTCTTCTTCTTTTTTTTTCTTTTATGGCGGAAACATTTTGGTAAAAATAGAAACCTTTTTCATGATTTCAAAAGCCCAAAATAATTTCTGAAGTGTGGGGAATTTTGAAGTGAACCATCAGAAGCCGGATAGAATTCAGCTTATAACCAAATATTATCTTTCTGATGAGCGAGAGACTTCTTTCTATTTACAAGTGGAAATAGCTTCTTAAATCTGTTTTAAAATATGTTGATACAGTTTGCCTACCAGAAAGAAATATTGTATGACTTTGTGAGACGAGTCATGAAGTCCAGGGCTGAGCCCCTTTCATAATAAATGGTATTTGCTCTGAAGTGTTCAGGTGGGGAAGGTTCTCTGAAATACAGGAAATCCAGTGGAGGCTTTGACATGGGGATTAAGTACCGAGTGCAGAAAGGGTGAAAGGTGTAAGAAAACTAAGGTTATCAAGTAATCAGACCTCAAAGATTTAAAAAGTCACAGCTTCCTGTCTGCTAATCAGATTATTTTCTACTCATTCTGTTAAAATTCTTCCAGTTGTTATCTTTTAAAAATTTACAAATGCTACCCACCCCCCAACCTTCCAATGATGCCCGGTTCAAGCACAGGGGAAGAACTTGCCCATCACACGGAAGGAGGAGATGGTTGTAGGCTAAGCAATGGGATTTGCTTAGAAATGTCTTAGAAATGACCTCCTTTTCTCCAGTCTCCAAGTGCATCCCCTAACTCGTGGGCAATGAATGGAAAAGTCTGGTAAGGAAGAGCTGCCTCTTTATGACTAAATATTCTTTGTGAATAAGTGTTCTTCCTCAATAAGTATTCTACTAGCCCTCAGATCTTTTTTCCTAGTCTCTCCTAATTGCTGAAGGCTCAGAGGAAGTACAAATTAGTCTTTTTTAAGGGTATGCATGGCTATTGGCAAGGCTGCCCTAGACATGGCCTTCCTGTTGAAAAGTTAATGGAAAAACAATCCGCTCAACAGCAGGGATGCAAGATGAAAGCTCAGAGCCCAGTAAGCCCAGATACTGACATTTCTTGGGGGCATCAAGCATAATAGGGTGAGCTTAAAATCCCCCCCCCCCAAATGGGGTAATTTTATACTTTCTAAAACACTTTTTTGATTTTTTTTACTCAGTGTTGCAGTCTACCTTCTTACTGACACTTCAACCCCCCATAACCCAATTTTTTGTTACAAAGTTGTATCTCCTTCTGTTTTTGTGGTATTCCCCTTGAGCCCAAAACTAATACAGACCTTTCCTTTTCCTTTCATTCCCTCATTCAGTCCCCAAGTGGAGAATGTCCTACCTTCTAAATATTTCTGGAATCTGTGTCCTACTTGTCCACCTACATTGCTTAGGAATTTCTCCCTGTACACTACAGTAGTCTTTGAACCACTCTCCTAGTTTATAGCATTGCCAACCCCCTTGGCCTTGCCCACCCCCCACTCTGTACTGAATGCTAGATGTTCTATGTAAAACCTTCCTAAAACAAAAATCATAGCTGCTCTCTGCCTTCTTCGATCCATGCAAATTGATTCCCATTGATTAAAGAGTGATCCTGACAGTGTCAGTGTGGTAAGTTAAGGAGCTGGGGCCTCCATGCTTCCATCGTTGGGATGGCTTTGCTACAAACAAATACATCATCTATTAAATCCAATACTGTCTTAATGATGCAGTTGGTTTACATTTCAGCCCATTTTTTTTAATCGATATGAACCTATAAAACAGACTTTTTCTAGATCACGAGCTGATCCACGCATGAGTTTGAGTTTTATTAGAGTAATAGGTCTAAACACCTCAACATGAGGCACCAGAATATTCATGATTGGGTCCCTGACAAAATCTCCAGCCCCTTGTAGGTTCAACAGTCTAGCACCAACTGAAATCAGCTTTCAACCCCAGGCTTTCTCACACTTTCTTCTCTCCAGCTCTCCTCTTCTGCGAGGTCCTTCCACACCTCTTGCTGATCCTTTAATAAGACTCACACAATCACTGTCATCTTTGCGCAAGTTCCTTTGACTGACATAAGGCAGAACTAATCACTCTGGTTTCAATTCTGTCACTTAATCATCTTAATCTCTTCTGTTTTTGCAGGTAGTGCACTGTTAAGAAAATTATCTGTTGTTTCCAACTGTCCCCTTAGATTATAAACTCTTCCAGGCAGGATATTAATCTCATTCACCTTTGCAGCATTGTTCCTTAGTGTAGCATATAATACATAGTAGATGCTCAATAAATGAATGAATTGAATCAAAGATGAAAATGGAAATGGAAAAGCCCTAAAACAGACCGCCATTTTCAGACACCATGCTAGGTAGTTCACATATATTATCTCCTTTCAGTCTTTTCAACAATCCTGTCTTTGGGGTAAGTGGTATTGGTCATATCTCATAAATGGGAAACCTGAGGCTGCAAATCTTAAAGATCTTGTTGCTGGTCATATAACCAGGTAATGGCAAAAGCAAGCCTCAAATCTGGACCCCATCATGGTTTGTATTCCTTCTACTATGACTGAGTATGCCTTTGAAGCTAATGTTGAGATTATGTGGCTGATCTTTGTAATTAAATTATCTAGCATATGGAATTTAGCGTTGACAGATCACTTTTAAATTCAGGGGTAAAAGCAACTACAATCCAGTCTCATTTTCAACTTTAATTATGCCTTAGAATTTCTTGGAATCCTCAGAGAATTCTAAGTGGAAATGTCATTTAAAGGGATTCTTTAAAATAGACGTAATTTTGCAACGTTTCCTATGTTTGCCGAATAAATAGCTCTACAGCATTCTGAACTTTGATATGAAATCTTTCCACTTGGCCCATTTTGGATATAATATCATGCAAAATTCTGAGCACCAGATAGATAGAAGAAATGTAAGAGTATGTGTATGTGTAAATATATATTTAATTATCCTAAGCTCTTACATACATTTGTATGTATAAACACACACATACTTTGTACGTATAAACACATTTATACATACCCATTATATGTGGTTTTCAGATCTGCTTATCTAAAGATAAAGACGGTCAAGCTCAGTGCACTCATCAGAGTGCTTCTAGCACTAAAAGTGAGAGGTCTTGTCAATCTGTATTTCTTAGTTTTCTTACCTGAGCAAAGACACCCAGTAGTTTTCTATATGCCACTGTGCACCAACTTATCATGATTGTTTTATAAATGCAAATTATACAACGACCCAAAATAGAACTGAAATAAGTTCAGAGATTGTATCTTAGTGTTAGTCTCGGGTTTTAAATTCATTTTGTTGAAAGACAATTTCTCAATGCAATGAGCATCTCCCCTGAGAAAATGACCCTGCGTTCAGCATTCTTTACAAAGACGCAGTTGAATGACAGAGCTTTGGTTTTTGCCAGGGCTTGAGAAGTTAGTGTCTATGTTCCTTTAATATTTAGACCCTTCAGCGGCAGTGAAAAACATAGTAACAAATCACACGTCCTCTGCTGTTAACAGGGTTTTGTAGAGTTTACACAAGCCTGTGCAAGTTTCAAGCCTCCACGGAAAGATGGGATTTCTTTCATAGTGTGAAAAGAAACTTCCAGCAATTCAATTTGTCTGAAACGGCAAGCACGGCAAGCAGAAAAACTTAAGATTAAAGTCCTGCCATCCTTTCTGGTTGCCTGACACGCCAGGTGAATAACCAGGATTCCTCTCTAGGGTGAGGAGATGTGTGTAGACCAGTCAGACACAACCGGGATTGGGTCACAGTGGCCCAACTGCACCCCTGGCCTGGGGGTTCTTTTGTTAAATGAATTACCCACCCCAGCCTCTTTCCGGTCCTATCACTTTTAGGAGGGACCTAAATGGGCGGAGGACTTGGGCCAGAAACACACTTTCCATCACCTAAGAATCCGAGCGAGGGAAATGCTTTTAACCAACAGATACTGTGACCTGGACAAAGGCAGTAAGGAAAGTTTGTTTCCTTCCTTTTCAAAGCAAAAGCAGAGCATCATACTTACAAAAGCCGCCTTCCAAGTCTTCTCTAGAGAACAAGCTCTGGGAGCCCGGAGCGTACACAGGAGCAGAGATAAGGTGGCAGCGGGACTTCCTTCCTCCTCCCCAGGCCGAGAGTCATTGTTCCTTATCTGCCCTGACCTCCGAGGCGCGGGGAGCCAGGGAGGCCTGGCCTCTGACCCGCACCGCCCTCCCCTCTGGCCTCCGCGCGCCCGGGCTGGGGGTTTGCTCTCGGCCCGCTCCAGCCCCCCGGCCTGACAGCGGCCCGAAGATTCATTAGGGACTGTCTGCGAAGTGCTTGCGAGATGAAGAGGGTTATATAAGCCCGCGTATTATTATCATCGCACACCCCCATAGAACCAAGGCTGCCAGACAAACAAAAGGCAGTTCCAAGAAGAGGAGGAGCAGAGGCAGAAGTTACACTGGGGGTGAATTTCGGGACACTGCTGAACTGACTGGAAAAAAAAAAAAAGAAAAAAAAGGGCAACCCAATATGTGTATGCAAACCGCGGCAAACAAACAGCGAGCTGCAGCTGGCCGGCCGGCCGCGGGGGCCGGCTCCTCGGAGGGCTGGCGGCCCGGGCTGCCCGGCGTGCGGTTCCGGCTCCCCACTCCCCGCGCGCCGGCACAGTAGCCGCCTGTGGCGGGGTGGAGTGCCTGGAAGATGTGGGGTTTGGAAAGGAGGGCGGTCCGGAGCCCAAGTGCTTAGTAAACACTGGTGTTTCGGAGACTCCGACCAGGTGCTTCGGCCGCTTCTCTTCATTCCCGGGCTCGTGTTTTCCCGGCGATGGTGTTTGCAGGGAGCTCCCAGAGCCCGGGCTGAAGCTCTTGTTTTCATCCTCGAGTTGTGGTCTCCATGGGGCTCACGCTTTTCTCTGTGGGAGCGAGAGACCGAGCCAGAGGGTTCTTCCCCCGCCCCCCACCCCGACCTCCGGGCTTCACCTCCCCTCTCCAGAGCTCGGGGTGAGAAAGTTCTGATTCCCTCTCAGCATCAGTCCTTCCTGCTTCCCTCTCTCCCCAGCTTTGCTACCTCCTCAGTTCAGATGGTTGTTACTCTGCCCGGTTCCGGGCACAGCTCCCCAACTTCCCCAACTCCTAAGGAACTTTCTCATCCTGGGATTAAAAACTTCCACGTGTCTCCACATCCATTAGCAACTTCCCAGACCTTCCTCGGCCTCACCTACCCCAGCACATTAGAACATGGATCAGGGGTGCCTGGGTGGCTCAGTGGGTTAAGGCCTCTGCCTTTGGCTGAGGTCATGATCTCAGGGTCCTGGGATCAATCCATGCATCAGGCTCCTTGCTTGGCAGGGAGCCTGCTTCCCTTCCTCTCTCTCTGCCTGCTTCTCTGCCTACTTGTGATCTCTCTCTCTCTCTCTCAAATAACTAAATAAAATCTTTTTTAAAAAAATGAGTTAAAAAATAATATGAATCATACTGTAAAGATGGCCTTTCAGCTCCTTCGCTTCCTAGCCTTACATCCTCCTCCTCAGTCTGGAACTTCTGCACTCCCGTTTCCTTCAAAGCTCAGTTAAATCCCAACTTTCCACAAAGTCCTTCCCAAAGTTCCCCCTTTTCTCTCTGCTGTGTTCAGCTTCTCTGCTATCATTTCTACTGTGCTATGTGCCTTCCTAGGTTGGGGGCGCTATGTGGCTCTCCAGGATGGCCTACCGCACAGGGAGCTTAATGGGTATGCACTGGATTTAACTGCGGGGGCAGGGGGAGGGGCGGTTAGACCTGATCTTACCTGGGCCGCTATTCTTGGAGTGCAAGGTTCCCCTTGGAGTGGAAGGGGCCCGGCCTAACTCCCCAGGCTCAGGTGAACTGCCACCTAGTGGTGGAGTACTGGTCGTGGAGTTGGACCTTAGGCTTATGGGGGTGTGTGATATCCTGCACTTTTGCATATGTTTGGAAATGTTCATAAATTTTAAAAAGAAAAGGAAAGCTTCATAAAACAGGGAGGGGAGCGTCCAAACTTTACTTGAATCAGCTTCCTCTCGGAGGTAAGTTCGTGAGGGTAACAGGATGGTTGGCTTGTACTTGAGTCTCCGCTACTGTACATTTAGAGGACCTATAAAGTGGAACTAATGTAATAGAATGCCAGGGAAATTCCCCAAAGGTGAGATTTTTCAGAAATCAGACTTCTGGGATGCATTTTATGGGGGAACTCCTCCACTACCGAAAGAAAGCAGGCTATCACAACAGCAGGTCCACGAACGAACAACGCTCTCTGGTGAATTGTTTTATGATACAGGGTGAAACACAGACCATGAGCTGTCAGGTACCGCATTTCTTGTGGCTTCGTACTAAAGTGTTCTTAATGACATTTCTCCTGTTATTCTTTGGTGAAAGCAACGTGCTTTAAATTCCATCTGTGGTGGTTGCATCGACCTTGGTGTCATTTAAGAGAACTGGGGTGTGTCTACACAGTACATGCTCGCCAATACATACAAAATGTTCAGTCAATTAGAAGAATGTCCCCGCCTCCACTAATTCGGAACAATAAGAACCAATTCAGGTTCGAAAGAGAAATGTTAGCCTCAAGTTCGTGGGGTTTTGGCTGCAGGAATGACAGAGGTCTCATTGCAATTTAGTAGTTCATGGATAAGATCTTTCCTCGCTTGGTCCTGCTCAGGTCAGAGCCATAATATTTATAATAGCTACCATTCATGAGGCTCTGTGAGGCTCCAGGCACTGGCTGGATGCTTTACATGCATTCTTAATGTAGCATTTGTCCTAAAACAGATTTTTATCTTCACTTTCCAGATGGAGAAACTGGTAACACAGCGAAGGAAACGACAGGTGGAGGATTTGAACCCACATCTATCTGACCACCCAGCCTACGATTTTTCCATTCTGCTGAAAGCTGACAGGAACTTGAGATAGTAGCTCATTTGCTGGTTTTCAAACTGGGTTCTAAGGAACACTAGGCTCTCGAGGAAGTGTTTTAGGAATCTTTGGGGAAGAACTGGAAAGAAGGAAATGTGAGGTAGAGGCCAGGTCAATTGGGCTTGGGCTCCACTCATTGGACTCAAACAAAAAACTTCATTCCTCTTTTATAATTTTGTTTGAAATGAGGGTTTTGCCACTAAAGAAGTATATTAAAACTCTTGGCTTAGTTTGACTTCCTCATGAGAAAGTACAGAACTTGGGGGCCAGAGGGATTAAATGCCTTGCCCAAAATATTATAAACAGGCCCAGCATTAACATCAGATGTCCAAACTCCACCTGAAACGATTGGTCTCCCCATATCCTTTATTTTTTCACTTGTTAACTGGCAGGGAAAGGGAGAGAGAGTTTGACTTGACCGCATTTCCTGACAGAATTCTTCATGACAAATGGAAGACAGAAACCCCTTCACTTCCATGAGCTAGACCATTTTCAGCCTTTTGGCTCTAAGTCTCAAGTTAGTCAATATTCACCTTGTGACAAATCGAAATCAAGTGAGGAATTAAATATGTAATTTGTCTGGATGATTTCGAGCTCTCTTCCTCTTTTCATTCAAATCAAAGTGAGTAGCAAAGGATACTTCTGCATGAATCATCTAGCTAATTATATAGGCTTGGCATGAGAATACTCTCGCTAGGAAACTGTTTATGTCTTCATATTTATTAATCCAGTCAGAAGCAACTCTCCTCACATGAGACGCACTAAGTGTGGCATAGATATTACTCTGAGAGGGGCCAAATATAGCCAAGGGAAAGCGAACTCCCTTCCCTCCCGAGTGGGAAAGGCTTCCCACCTGGCTAGCTTCCTTGCAGCTGGACCAGCTGCACTCCACCTGGTCTTCAGCCTAATAAGTTTCACTTCCCTGCCCGACCACACAGTCACTGAATCAAGCCAACTGTATCCCACCCTGGGAATCAAGGTACACCTCATCCTCTTGTTACTACAAAGCCCACCCCCCACAGCATTTTCTTGTTCCTCAGTGCAACCTCTGTGTGGCTCTATGGGTGTGTTGTGTCTTCCTCCCCTGGGCTGTGAGTATATGAGATTAACAATCTGCTGTTGATCCGATGTGTGCAGGGTCAGATGTCCTGTGTTTGGTCATTCTAGAATCTTCAGTCAGGACTTTCCTCACCGTCAGGGTGAAGGGGAGGTGAACAAAACAATGACCAGACATGAATACTAATACTAAATGGAATTTTCAGAGAACTGGTGCCAAACATCACTTCCTTTGGAGTGTTGCTAAGTGTCAGGCTATTTGCAAATAGGAACGATTTTTAACTGAAATGAATGTCAGCCAGAACTGACCTTTATTAATTTCAAGGCCTTAGAGCTTTCCCATCTGCCCGTTTTAATTTTTATCCTTCTCACCTGGAGATTTTTGGGAGCAACAGCACTGTTCTCTTTCCAGAGATGACTTAAGTTGAGCCCTGCCTGAAGGCAAAAGAATGAAAAGATGACCCTTCCATTCCTGTCATTTAAATCTTCACCAACTGCATTCTTTCTGTAAAATGTAGCAGAAAGAATTTTTCTCATCTCCACGGACAAGAGATTATAATAAACAGATCTTTTTTCCCCCCCATCGGAAGCATTCCAGTATTAATATATTTCCAAATTCTGAGCCCTAGAAACAAAGCTTTAGATGTAATTTCTTTTCCTATTCATGAGATTTACAATAGGAAGGTCATGTTTGTACTAGATTTTGGCTGGAAATTAATCTTCTCCTCAGCATTTCTATAGACTCCAGGCCCTTCACTATTTAGTCATTTCCAAATATTAAATGCTTGTCATTCTTGAACAACGATCTAATCTTCCCTTTATGGGTGGAGAGACAAAAAGTTGTGGAACTTGCAAATCATTGTCAGGGCACAGATCACTCTAAAGGTTATGCCTGCCCATTGAATTTCCTTCCTCCACACATTCTGAGACGACAAAGTAAAACTGTAAATTGTTTCGTAAGCAGAGCATGTATGGCATCCTCTGACTATTAGAAACTATTCACTAAAAGCTCATTTGCATTCGGCCTTACAAGAGAAACTTTATGGGGCAAATAAATATATTCAAACTCCACCACCAAGCCCAAGGCCAAGGCTGTGATATAATCCCCCCCACCCCAACACCCCCTTTTCTGGCCTGTGCCTCATACAGATCAAAATATATTCTTAGTTCAGTTGAACAAGGGTTCATTTAAACCACATCTGCTGCTCATCAGACCTCTATTTTAGGAGTGGGGAATTCTTTTTCAGAGATAGATTCTGTCTGGAAGGTCGATG